AAAAAAAAAAAAAACAGGAGAAAATAAACAAGACAAAGATCCTCAGGATAAAACGCACAACAGTTCTGGAGCTAGCCAGATATGACACTTTAACTTCCTCAACACACGGGGGAGCTCTAATGAGAAGCGCTTGAGACCAAGTGCAAGATAAACGGCCCCTTTGTTCTTCTTCATTGGTTGTTCGAGGTTTCTTCGCATTTGTTTGTTTTCCTAGAAGAGTTCGTCATCATCATCATTACTTTTTTTGCAGTTTCTTGCCTTTCCTCAAGGCAAGCTTGTTCTTGATGTGTCCTCGCTTCCTCTTGGCAGTCTGAGGGACAGAAAACAATAACTCAAATTACAAAACATTCTCTAAAATACAAATATTTTCTGACTTGTATATCACTTTTGGCCCATCAAACAATCTCCTTGTATTATCCAATGACAGAAATGACTGAATAGGATGAATTTAGTGTCACAGAAATCTTTGAGAGCTTCAATATACTGTAGCTACTAACAAGTACACATTAATACTGTTAAGAACTTAAATTGGAGCATATACACTGGTTTATTTGTAATGGAGTGTTGTTTAGTATCATAAATATCCTTTTAAAGTGTGTGAGTGTGGCATCTAGTGGTGCATTTGCAGCTTGCAACTCCCTCACTACTTCTTCCCCTTCCAAGTGCGAGGGAGAAACTACAGGACCTTTAAGTAACAGTATATTTAACTGAATACCATTAAATATACTGTTACTGTAAGTTCAGGATGTTAAGTCGGGGGTGGGTTTTTACCAACAATGTCAATTATGCTTTGAAAACATAATTGAATCTTTCTAAAACCAGAAGGCAAAATGAATCAGTTTAGATTAAAACAGAACAGGATGTGTCCTGCTACCTTTTTGGAGGTGTACTTCTGCTTGGGGACTACACTGCGAAGCTTGTGGTCCAGCGGTTCTCTGTTGTCCAGATTCTTGACCTTGTAGATCCTAACCAACCAGTGCTCTGAGGTAAACGCCTCTTCCAGGTGCTTGAACTTAATATCCTTGTTGCCGATCTCGGCGTTGCGTGTTCGGTCGAAGCCAGGAGGCGTCCGGAAGTCCAGCTGGGAGATGGATATGGTTGTCAAAAGAATAGTTAGCTAGCTAGCTAGCTAGGTAGTCTGGTACACAATCCCCCCGTAAAACCACAATTTGTCATTTTACAACGCTGTTTTTATACATATTAAAGAAACGAGACATAACATGTTAATTAGTGAGCCCTGGCTGTAGCTTCGTATTTACAGATGCGAGAATAGTCATAATCTTCTTATCGAACTCTCAGCAGAAAAGCAAAAGTGTATTTTTAAAATGTTGAACTGTTCCTTTAAAGAAAACCGAAAGTAAAAGCAAAAAACTTTTTCAGACACAGCGTGACAACTGTCTTACAAAGACAACTTCATTTTAATTTCATCTCAGCCCACTGCAGTGTCACTAATTCCAACTTTAGTGCTCATCAGTTTGAGACAAGAACAAACAATTATAAAAGAAAAAGTTTGATAGCCCTTTGATTACGAAGAAGTGTCTGCCCTTTGGCGACTATTAGGATGCATTTCACTCTGTATGAACCACTTACAACCTCTTATCTTTGACTGCTCCTCTTACCTTGTCCCTCTCACATTTGATTTTCCTTTGTCACCTCAATTCTCAAAGCTACAGTTTCAATCTGCCTTCCCTCTATTGTATTTTACTCCCGTTTCCTCCTTTCTCTTCAGACTCCACTCTCACTCTCCCTTTGGGTACCACCTTCCCATCCACAGTACCTTGGCAGCTCATTTATGCCTTCAGGTAGCTTCAGAGGACACAGTTTTAAATATTAAATTTTTATCAGTCACAATAGTTTAGTCTTGCTATTTGGATTTAATAGCACTGTTCAACTTGTCGTTTAAATGTTAAGAAAAAGAAATAAAGGAGTAGGATTCTGGGGAGATATGACGTTGGTGGTTTGAGTCTATTCATTTTATACTTTCTATTCTGCATGTATTATGCATTGTCAGTATTATCCTTTAATCTCCACTCACTGCAACACACTGCATCTTCAACTATCCTGTATAGTTCACCCCACTCTACTTATTGTCTTTTCCCCAATGTCCTCTAAGCCTCGGTTTCACCTTGTCACATCCCATTTCCGTAAACCTAATCTACCCCCCTTTACTCTAACTCTCTTTTTTCCCCCTCACTGGGCACACTCCTTCCTGTCCTCCCTCTCCTTCTGTGCCTCATTCTCTCCGTCTCTTTACCCCGAAACAGCTCTGTGAGCTACACAGAGCCTTGGCAGTCTGTCTATGGATGGAGGCTGCATTGATTCTCCCATCTCAGCTGAGCTGTTGGCCGGGCCGCATCTACAGCAAAGATGTAAGCACCTGGCACGAAGGCTCCCTCTCATCTCTCCTCTGCTACCTGCCAGAAGTAGCCGTGGCACATCTCAAAGCTTCCGCCAATCCTTCATATTCCTCCTCCATCCCCCCCC